CCACCTAAGCAGGTAAGAGATCGGTTACTTGCCAATGACATTTGCTGGCAGTTGCGTTAGATATACCATGAATTGGCAGAAGTTGGAATTTATGGGTTATTGAATCGGGTCTCAGTATATGAATGCTCTACCAACACGCCTTGTAACCAGAAGGTCGTGAGTTTGAACTCCAGTGAGTGAGTACTGACAAAGAGTCCCAAACTAGGACGAAACAGCTGTCAAGTATTCCTCGCCGGTTTCCCAGCGAGTCATCATCAAACCTGTAACTAATCAAATCCCTGCAAGCCGAGACTTACTAAAGGTGATTGGATCACTGAGATCTTATGTGTTTGGGTACATAATGCATAATCAACTTTGAGTATTTCATTTTTCCGAGATGAAGCTTCCACTCTAATACACTCTACATACGCGTTAGTGGAGGCAAGAATTCAAATTGTAACAACAGAAAAAAAGAGGCCAGGCAACAGAACGTTTATTACGGAAAATCAACACGTATTTTTAGATTTTGATGTACCTTATTGTAGGTTAATGTTAGTAGAAAATACAGTCTGTTGATTGTTGGTTTTCACACAAAGTTAACCTCGCATCTCTTGTGGCTGTGTCAGTTCTGTATCCGCCTGTCCATCTTGACCTTGACCTTAATTACTGTCAACCACTTTGGCTAGCAACCATCTCTTACCACAACATGACTAATATTTGATACATAAACATTGACCTCAATTCCTGTCAACCAATTTGGCTAGCAACCATATCTCACCACGGAGTTAGAAGTGGTCAAACCAAAGCCTGGCATCAGTCCATGGAGCCTTGAGCTGTTGGACTTAGGCAGCCTCATAAGGAGGTGTCGACTGCCTGACTGGTTGGGGTCTTCGGGATGCTGAGAATCATTGTCTGGAGACTATTAATGAAAGTCGTTCATTCTTTGTTATCTCTCATATTCATATTACACTTCTTCCTCCCGTACATTTTTGCATATTGTAGTTTTATTTTTGAAACTCTTTCCCCCACCTTTGTGTGTTGTATAGAGTGTGGCCACTTGAACTGACACACTTCTGCGCAAAGTTCTATGCTGAAACTCACTCAGTAAGTCATGTAACTCCCTGACCCATATTGACTGGTACAAAATTACTTTGAAAAGTGAATATATCTATATGCAGGTGACATGCTTAAAACCTTGGCTTCCAAACTATCGCACTATTACATTGCACATAAGTCCTCCTGTTCAATTTGTTTTAAACTAATAAAAAATGACCTCTAATGGTGTTTTCCAATCTCGTGCGTATTCAAAATTTCTACAACCTGCTGACTGGCAAGTTTCTACTAAAATTGAGAAAAAGCAAGATCGCGGTTGGCAACATGGATAACGATACATGAGTTAACCATTCCTGAGAGTTTAAGTACGAGCTGCCTTTTCCCTGAGAAATCAAAATGATTACCTGTAATCTTCAAACTATTCAGCTATCACTATGTTCTTGAGTCAACAAAATCTACTCCTCCACATTTTTTCATTTTCACGCAACCAAATGTTGTGCATTTCTCGAAAGAGGTAAAAAAGAAATCGCATATGGGATTGGCTTTCACTTCAAGTCAGACAGCAGTGTGTCACTCATTTAACCGTCAGCTACTATTTTGTTTTAAGATCCTAGACAAAGAGAAACTATTATGTAATAAATTTCGTTGAAAATTCTATGCATTATATAGACAATGTTCACAATAAAGCTATTATTATTTTTATTATTTATTCAACACAAGAAGGATTATATTATGCAGTAAATTTGTAAACACACATTTATCTAAGTAGCTTAGTCACTGATTATGGTACAATGGGTTTTCAGGGAACTTCTGTAGTCCGCATTCATATCTGATTACACATCTCACTGTATGTAATTTTAAACAGTTGAGACTCATTGAATATTGGCGTCATAGAATAAGTTGATGTCGATGTTTTAAAGCCAAAGATTTTCACACTTTTTAAAATTTTCTCTTAAACTTCACCTAAGCGTCTATTTAGACAAAGTTATCTTCACAATTTATCCTGTACTGTGATAAAGCAGATCAAATTCGCCTCCTAAACATTTGCTGTGTATATGTTTAGAAAAAATTGAAGCAGTTTTAGGAAAGTTTACCAAGTCAGCTTTTTCTTGATAGAATACTCACCACTGTAAAATCTAGTTGGCAATCAGCTGAAGAACACTGAGGTCCTGGGTTCAAACCCCAGCGGGTTGGGTACTGCCAACAAGTCACAGATTAGGACGAAACAGCTGTCCACTACTCCTTCCTAGTGTTGACTACTTCTCTAACTGATACCAGTCTGTGATTAAACTTGAAACAAGTCAAATTCCTACCAGCTGAATCTTGGGAATATGGAGTGTTTGACGTGCAGCCGGCAGTTCACGTCGTTAAAAAAAACAAGACAGTTGATATGGAGCCAATTAGGCTTGAAAGTCCTATGTTAATGAGTAAACTAACCACCACTCATTAACTTTCATGAAGTTTGTATCATTCTGATAGTGTCATTACATTTGATTTCATTTATTTACTATATTAACAATAATTAAACTAATAACTTGTCTCCTTCCTATTTAATCTGACTACCGAAAACTTTTTGTTTAAAGTGTCTGAGCAAGTCATTCATGTGAATGCATAAATGCAATTAAACTGTCAATATACGTCCATTTCTTGCTAATAACTAGAAAGCCTATTGTCTGTGACATTTTTTTTCCAATGATCAAGTAGAATTAAGCCATCTCTTTATCAACGATAAATAATAAATAAAACTTAGTTCATTACTGTATATACTACTGATTGTGTGAGGTGAGTAGTTGGATGCCACTTTAATCAACCGGTAGTTTTTACTGGGAAGATTGTAGTAAAACTAACACCAGACAGCCGTTTCTCTCGTTAAGGGTCAAGTCTATCAGTGGTGAACCAGATTTGGCTCAGCTCATTTGAAACCACGTTATTACTGGCTAGCTACTTCGATGAACTGCTAACATCATAAATAAAATTCACAGTTTTTAAATGAGTTATCAATTTTGCAATATCCAATGTTTTAGGCGTGAATTTTCACCACATTTTCCGTTAGAAAAGTCGAAATTATTCAGATCGCAGTGTGTGATCTGCTTGATAACATCAGTGGTAGTCAAGAAGGCAAACATACGTTCACCATGATATACGCTACTGAATGATTGAGAGGTATACTTGGATATTACTCATATCAACCAGTGGTATTTACTAGCCGAATCGACATGGTCTCAACAGTAAAAACACAAACGAGTGGAACTCCACCCATTTATTTATCAAAAATAAGAATAACAAATGCAAGCCTATGATTATAATGCATCATTTCAATATAATTTCTATTTGATAAGAATGCCTGTTGCATTCGTACTTTCTTTCATGGATATAATTAATGACAGTGTGACTGCTAAACATCAGTAGTTACAACTTATTGAGACTGGTTTTTGAGGCATTTGGTGTTAGATGACTTCAAGTACTTTTTAACTGACATTAATGTAACCATAAAATTGACCGAAACCAAAAGCACTTCTCAGGATACAAAAAAGCACGTTCATTGTGCTTCATGTTACCAACATTACATCAAAATGTATGCCTCCTGGTCTGAAAAACCAATAAATCGGCAGAAGAAGCAATGAAGGCAGGACTTCTAGTGAACATGGAGAAAACAACCCTCAATCACTAATATCGTGGAAAATTTGAAAGGGATTACTCACTTCACCGATCTAGGCTGCGTAGTTTCAACCAAAGGCGGAATGGACAATGTTAAAGTCAAAATCGTAAACGGGTGGGTGGTGAGATAAGCATTCATCAGTCTTAAATCAGCTTGAAAATCCTCAGCGCTCTGCATACAGAATAAGATTCGGATTTTCAAAACACAAATGTTAGGTCAGTCAGTTCTTTATTATGGGTCAGAAACTTGCACTGCACATCACCGAAAGCATTCGCATCAGATCGCTGACTTTTATCCATAACCGCCTTTGCTCCATACTGAAGATAAAATTACCAAAAAGAATGAGAAACAAGAAACTCTGGAAACCAATCAACCAAGGGCCTATTGCCTAGCAAATATGCTGAAGAAAATGGAGATGGACTGGGCACACGCTGGGGAAACCGTCGAATGATATCACGCGCCCAGTAGTTGCTCAAATGCAACCCGAATGGGGAACAACGAGTGGGGCATGCGTCTGAAGGTGACGTGGAGTAGATCGTGCGATAAGAAGATCAGAGACTTCAGGCCAGCCATGAGGCCAGCCAAAAAGGACCGCGGAAAATGGGAAAAAGTGGAGATCTCCTGCCGAATCCCTATGTTCTACTCGAAACCCACCAGAACAATAATATGTATAAATAATAACAATAATGTAAGAGTCAGCTTGATAAAAGATGACTTCCTTATTTTAATAGCATACAGAACTCTTAGTATTTAAATATTTATATATATATATACATATTTATGACAGAGATTTTCAGAAAACAAGTTCTCAATGGTTTACGTTTATTACCTCAAAAAGAAACGAGTGTGTCATTACTAAGAGTAATACTTTGTAAATGTATATATATATATATATATATATATTAAAAGAAGTTACTTCTGTCATCCAAGTTGATTTTCTTTTAACTTGCATTACTGGCGTATGGCGTAGATAGGAAAAGTGATCATAAATTATTTCTGATTTTCTTATGTTTATTTTTGTGTTTTGGTGAGGTGCCGTGGATGAGGTGGGGGCGGGGGCGGGCGTTCAACATTCGTTCTCAATTTATACACCGACTGCAGTAAAGGAACAGAATATCGTCTGTTGTTGTTCAGCTGACATCCATTGGCATTTTCATTAGTATCATTATTTACAGTGACAGTATAACAAACAGCATTTGAAACTCTGTTCAGTGAGTGAATAGTGATCAGTTGCATATGACTTTGTAAATTATTCGGAAAATATATATACAGCAAAAAAAACAAAGACAAAAAAAGATACAACAGCGTTTTATGTTTCCATAATCGATGTTTGCGTAGTATAAGCTGCACTTAAACTAAGCCGATTCACGTTGGGTTTTAAATCAGACGGGGGAATTTGTCTTGAAAATTTATTATTACTATTATTGTTATTATTAATATCATTATTACTATTGGTGTTATTATCTTTCATTAACAATTGTTCACTTTCTTTATCCACTGATGCCATATCATGCCGTAGCGAATTCATATACTGAGTTGTATGCACAGTCAACTTTCTCTGTTCATTATGCTTTTTACACTTATTAATAAGATTACGAAATATATCTTTCAACTGAGAGCGAAATCTTCGTCCAAGAAATACATAGACAAAAAAATTCACACCACTATTTAAACAGACCAAGGCGTTTGTAACAGGCCGGGTAATTTCAATTAAACTACGATGATTCATCAGGTGGATAATTTGATAACCGACAGCTGGTAATTCACACACTAAATAGATAATAATCACCCCGACGCATAGACGATTCACCTCCATTGTACGTGAACGATTCGATTTTGAAATACGTACAAAATAGGCATGATTATCCGAAGAACTCGGTGTTGAATGAATATACTTTGGCATATTGTGGTGATGATGATGATGATGATGAGGATGGGGATGAGGATGATGGGGATGTGGTTGATGTTGATGATGATAATCTCTATGTAAGGAATGATAATTACACTGTTCAAATTGTCTATTAGCACAATCAATACGTGCAACAATTTGAGCTCTTCTCTGATTGGCGTATTTAATTCCACGAATTAATAATACATTAAATATAGCAATTATAACATTTGGTAAGATAATTATTAATATTGTATAACTAATTAAACGATATATCAGCCGAAATGGATAATTATTTTCAACCCATTGACGTATAGCACTGTCATAGACTAAAATACCTCTGGGTAAATTTGTATAATTAAAATATCCACTCGAAACCATACTGTCTGAAGTGTTGTAATAACACAAATACGGCATTGCATCAACAATAAAAAAATGTGGAATATTATATAGGAATGACAGGACAACAATCAGCGTGATTGCAATATGCGCTTTCTTACGTGTGCAGATACTTGGTGCATGTAACGGTTTGCATACAGCTACCCAACGTTCTAATGACACCAGGACAACTGTCCAATTTCGCATCATTCTTACTGCCATTCCAGAGGCATACAACACTTTACTTGTATGCGCATAGAAATTCATATATGATAACCATAGGATATACAGGGATAATGTTTTAAGGAATTGAAAAAAGAAGCATAGAATTAGAAATAAGGTATCGAATACAGCAAGACTGGTTAATATTAAACTTGTTGTTCCATGAGATCGATCACGAGCCAGTACAAATCCGCTTAATATATTCCCTGTTATTCCGGCGAGCAGTATACACCCAACAAAGAATACATCAAAGGCGACATTGTATAATACAACCCAGTGTTGTTTAAACAGGCCTGGCATATGTCCTGTGCCATTAATGTAATATGTATTATTCTCTGGAATTTCAATAAGTTTTCCACAATTTGATAAAAGTTTCCATAATTCAGTCTTGTTTATTTCATCGGAATTTAAGAAATTAGTTCCATTTTGAAGTTCCATTATTACGATTATTAGTGTTGGATTAGAGATGGTCAGTGTATTTTAAATCTTTAATTTGTATCAAAACATTAAACATTGTATTTGAACAAGAGTGAATTGTACAAGACAGTTTAGTATTATTGGGAATAAGAAGGCATCCAAGTGAAATAATGATTGGTTGTTCAATTGACCAATTAGAATAACTTGTCAATAGCCAATATCTACTCCATATTTCTTGACGGTTCCTTGTCTATACACCATAACATGAATAGCTAGGCAGAAAGTCAGGAATACTAAGATTAATAAATACAACTTGTAGCTGAAAAGATTACCATTTTGAGATAAACAACATAGTGTGCCTAATAGATTACGTAAACATTGATTACGGTTTGATTTGACACGTGGTGCAGAGAATAAAATATTGTTGTTGAAATACTGCTTCTACAAAACCTGGTTGTTAATATTATTATTATTAATACCTATTCATCCCCACTCTTCAGCTGTCCCAACGATTGCTCTTAGGCTCTCATTTCCTTCTCACACGATCTACTACATATCACCGTCGGCTCACACTCAAGGGTCTGTTGCGAAACCTAACTCAGCGGTCTCCTCAGAGTGTATCCAGTCCATCTTCGCTTTCTGTGGACTAGTTGTTGTTCAATGGGTTCGCGATTGGTCCCTTCCCAGAGTTCCTTATTGCTAGTCCTTTCCAACAGACCATGTGATCCTTAGTATGGATTCAACGAAGTTAGTTATTGAAAAAATGTCGGCATTAGGCCGTTCAAAATGGTTTTTGTGACGCATGAGCTAAGCTATTAACCTGCAGAGAAGAGCTGACTGACCTCACAATGGATTTCCAGACTGATTTCACAACAAGAAATGTTTTTGCTTGCCTGAATTAACTGAAAAATCAAATGAGTAGGAAGAATCGACTGATACACTTACAAATAATATCGGCCGTTGCTCTAGGAACTTGATTTTTCGTGCTCGAGAACGTCTCCGAGTATCACTAAGTAAAAGTGTAGTGAAAATCATTAACAGTTTGATATCGGACCATCTAGTACAAACCAGCCAAAAAGCCGTCTTTGAAGAATCCTTCCCAATCATCTACCAGGTGCCAAATGAATTGCCAGAAACATTGCATGCTCCAAACAGCAGAGGCTATTGCAGTTCGTCTGAAACAACCAGTGCTCTGTATGCGAAAGAAGCAAGTCTAGCCCCTACTACTGCCCTGGCTGGCCTTCAGTAGATGCTATAAATTCATGAATTCGTATAATTATCTTTCCAAACTTTTGTGACATTCAGCTTATTTTATGTTGATCCTATTGAACTGTAATATATTGACATTATTGATTCGATGTTACTTATACATTAATGTTGTTAATAACACTAATTCATTCATTCACTATTATGTATATATATATATATAACTGTAGAACCTGATGAAGAAGGGGTTATCGAAAAGAGTATTCTTTGTTCAGTATCCATTCTTTTGAAAATAATTAGTGTTCTATAATTCCTTTATTGTTGTAATCTATATTCTACTGCGTAAGTATATCTAAACTGGTAGACAAGGTGCCCATTTTTTAACTATATTTTGCAGATCTCTGTATCCTTACCAGCTTAAAATGATAATAATAATAAACGAATTGAAAAAGTTACAAAACTCCTGGTCGTTCAGAGATGGAATACTCACCAACTAGGCAGATGGTGCGGGATTCCATCCACGGTCGATACCACAATAAACTTTGTTAATCCAGTAGTAAGACCGGTAAAGAGGGAAAGTTGAACGTGAGGCTAGCTGCTCCACCCTATAAAAAATTAACACATGACTGACTCGTTTCAGCGTAGAACTTTGCACAAAAATGGAGCAATTCAATTTGCCACAATCCCACCATGATGCAAATAAAGCAAGAGAAGAGAGTAAAAAGGAGGTTCAAAAGAGGGATAATAAAAAGAAACACGAGACAAAATGAACAGTAATATGGAAGAACAGTAGAGTTTTATTGGATATGACAAATCACAAGGAGTGAATACATATGCGACATTGAGAATGATTTCCAGCCATATTACCAATCTTTTCCAACCATTAGTTCTTGCCATCCCGAGGACCACAACCAATCAGTCAGGAAGTCTTTAACTCCCAACGTGGGTTTCATTGACTGATGAAGCAAATTTTTGGTTTGACCACCACTATGTATTTTCTAACCTGAACTTATGTCAAGGAAGGCGATGGCTAGGCATGCGTAACACGTACCCTGACTACCTCAATTGGTGTAACTTCAGAAACGTCGTTGAGTGATTTTCTCTCCTAACCTAGCACTTAACGCCGAACCTCAATATTTCTCACCTTATTATACCACTTAACACGGGAGATAGAATATAGACAACTATGATCAAAGACACCTAGCTGACCTTTCCATGTTTTCTACTTTCAATGGCCATGTTTCACTCAAAACCATAAGGGAGGACAGAGTGAAATTCTGAGCAGTACACATACCCTTACGTCGACAGCCGGATATTACATCTACGCCAGAGGTGAAATGCCTTGGCATATGCCAAACGAGCATTCTGCATTCATGCTGAGATTTCATCAGTGATCGAATCGTTGTGGCTAGTGGAACTCCTCAAATAAGTGAAGTTGTCAACATGCTCTACACTTCCAGAAAATAGACATCAGTGCTACTGAAACTTCATGGCTCAAGCTTGAAGCCTTATTTTCCGATAGGAACGCAAAAAGATATAATAAGAAAGAACAGTAGAAGTTTATTGAATGTGGCAATTCACAAAGAGGAATTACATCGGCGACACTGAGAACGATTTCCAGCCGTAACACCAAATGTCTCCAGTCATCATTGGTTTTCAGCATTCCGAGGTCCCTAACCGGGAAGTCACTCTACACCTCCCTATGTGGCTGGCTTGGGCTAACTGTTGTGGATTTCATTAACTGATGCCATGTTTAGGTTTGACTACAACTGGCTCTTTTCCAACTTGATTTTAATGTGGAGTAAGGCGATGGCTAGACATGCGTAACACATGTCCCAACCATCTCAATCGGTGTGACTTCACAACCTTATCGATCGATTACCTCTCCTTACCTAGCACTCGACGCCTAACCTCAACACTGCTCACCATATTATACTACTTCATACAGGAAATAAAACGCAGACACCTGTGACCAAAGACAGCTTGTTGGGATTTCCATGTCTTTTACTTTCAATGGCCATATCTCACAGACATAAATGAGGAAATAGTGAACTTCTGAGCAGTACACACGTCCTCTAGTCAACAGCTGGGAATCACATCTACTAAACCATAGATGGCGTTAGTTGCCATACTTACACCAAACGAGCCTTCTGTGTCCATGCTAAGATATCGATAGTGGTAAACTCATTGTGGCTGATGGAACCCCCCAAAGAAGTGAAACGGTCAATACGCTCTACACTCCGAAAGAATAGACACCAGTGCTACTGGAACTTTATGGTACAAGCTTGAAGACTTATGTTCCACCAAGACGACGAAAAGTGAAATAACTTCATTTTCATTACTTGATATTTAAAAAAACCTGGTTCAATAATGAGAGAGGCAAAAAACAATGTCAAATCCTCAGGTATGTTTAATACCAGAACTAATTATCAAAAGCTAGTAGTAGAGTTGTTGTGTACGCTACTGACATGATTTATCAGTAGTATAAAAAGTGACGTTCATTAGTATAAAAACATCAAATAGCGGAGAGATAGATTTCATGTTTAAGAGAATAAGTGAACTGATATTGAGTCAAAACATGGAAGACAGGAAAAGAAGACAAAGAAGCGCTATACGAAGAGCAATATTTCCTCCAGTGTCCCATTTGACCACATTCGGAGCAACTGTCTCTTAGTAGATCAAGCCTCAGAGGCGTTTCATCCCACCATGACGAACGAAATGGCGAATCGCAGGCTTCTCGAGGCGTTGGATTTTGTCACGAAGAACCTCGTGATGGCGTTCGCCTCCTCCTTTACCCGAATTCTTTGCGCCTTTTCTATGGCTAAACACAATTCACACGTAAATTTAGGAGAAACTGTGAGGACCACTCTTGCTCGCACGAAGCAGACTGTTAGCAAATCTACTGGTGTGGATGCTACAAGAAAGCACCTGACCACCAAGGCTGTCCCTAAAAGCGCACTAGCTACTGGTGGCGTCAAGAAAACATACAGATATAGGCCAGGAACTGTTGCTTTCCGTGAAGTCCGTTGTTACCATAAGAGCACTGACATGCTGATCAGCAAATTACCTTTCCAAAGTCTCGTTTACGAAGATACCCTGAACTTCAAGACTGCCCTTCATATTGCGTTTCTTTGCCATAATACAGGTTCATTTATTCTCTTTCAAATCAAATCGGTTTCTCCACCATTTGACCTGTTTGTACCGATTAACGTCTCTTTGCATACTACTGATAAATCGTGTCAGTAGCACAGGCTACCGAGTATCATCATTAAAATACACACACCGATTAAACTCTAAGTTAAAAGAGCAACCGCCTAGGAGCTCACTCATTTTTAATTCCTAAGACCCAATAAAAATTATCTTTACTGAGGTATTAGAACAAAAGATTGTCCTCGAAACCACGTTAAAAAGTTTTTAATGGCAGGAGGAGCGACGATGAAGTTACATTGTATCAGCGAGAAGCTCATATTTTCATTGACAGATTAAAGTGACTGCTAAATCACCAACTGCGGAAACTAACAGATTCACTGCTCAAATTGGTTAAAAAGAATGAAAACAAAATTGTTCACCAAAATCCAGATCTTTTAGAGCCTTCTTATCGGTCAGTGCAGCGTACTCTTGTCTCCTCGCTCCCCACAGTCTGACGCATGATCCAGTCCACCACAATTAAGAGTATCATTGGTGATAATAGGCATGTCTTACTCCTGTATGCACTTCGAACGCCTCACCGAGTTTTATGCTGTGGATCACTTGACAGATGGCGGGCATTGTCATGTAGCCATCTGTTGAATGAAATTGACGTCATAGTGTTGAAG